TATATATATATATATATATATCTCAAGTTATTTGATGTTTTCTCTTTGAAAAGAGATTTCTATAACTTTCAATCAGATACTTTCACAATTAAAGACAAAACAAAAAAGTTATAATGCTAAAATTGGGTTCTGATACCTCCAGAGGGCATGCACAGATAGCTCATTAGGTAACTTTATACTTAAACATAATATTAATAATATTTCAATTACTTGGATAGCTGGAGTAATCAAAAAGAGTAATAATTAAAAACATTTCTCTAATTTCAACTAATTGATTACTTTCGTGACAATCAATTTCACTATGATATTGGTTAATCAATTGTTGGAATAATCAGAAACCAATATCAACTAATTGATTATTTTCGTGACATTACTCAATATAACTATGATTTTGATTAACTAATGTGACACCAAAATGATTTGTGAATCTTGAATAAAAAACAACAACAAAATCTGACAAGAAAATTTTAAATTACATATGATATTTTGAAATCTTTAACTGTGAATTCTTTACACCTATCTATATTAATCAATAAGGTACTGTTTAAACCATGTAGCTGGAAGCTATTAAAACAAGGGAAACTTCTATAATAATAATATCTAACTGTTGAAGCCAATGGCTAAGATATGATACCCAGGAAAAGTTATAAACCTCCTAAGTCTATTTCTGCTTTAAAGCTTTTTACTATGAAATAAACATAATGCCTCATTTCTTTTTTGTCAAGAATACAAATAGAAACTTCTTAAGTAATTTTAAAAATCACACTCAAGTTATACATTAAAAACTGAAGATAAAAGAAATATTTTGGAATTTTTGGAAGATGAAACGTGTACTTACTGATAATCTTCCTCATCTTTCTTTTTAGGTTGATAATTCTTAACAAGGCGTCTGGAAATAATTATAAATACTCTTAACTTTTACGTAACTAATCTCACACTAATCACAGTGTTAAATATAACACCGAAAAAAAAAAAAACTTTATGAAAGCCACATGATATATATATACTACACGCAGAAATAAATTTTCACTAAGAGCAACAATTTAAAGAAATTTGTGTAACTAAGCCATACCGATCAATTTTTCTGAACCTACAGTGTTGTTGCAGGTCTGGTGGAAACATGACGTTTATTTTAATTTCCCTAATGTTTCAATTTTGAAAAACCTTCCTTACTACACATGCATTTCATGAGTTATATATCAATAGAGCTGGTTGATTATGGAATTTTCTAATCGTTAATCAATTAATACCACTATTCATAAACAGTAATAATCAGAAACACTAATTCTACATGATAATAATACTAAAACAGTAAAGCACATTGAAATAATTTAGGTTACAAGCATTTATATAAATTGAATTAAGAATGACTACTTCCAAAATAGGTCAGCTTTAAAGAAATTTTTGAGGCATATACAAATTAATTAGACAATCCTGCACCCCCATAGGTGCAAAAAAAATTTATTTTATTAGGAAATTGTTGTGAAGGAATTTGTCCTACGTATTCCATCTTAGATTAATACCACCATATAACGGAGCTACTGTAACAGTAAATAAAGGTAGCAGTAGATTTCATATTAGGCTTAATGCACGTAGCCTTAAAATGATATGTCTGTTTGTGATTAATGCAGATTGCTCTCGTTAAGGAAAGCACGGGTATTTTATAATTAGCAATCGTTCGACTAGCCTCAAACAAGTTTCACATCACGGTGCTGAAATGTAATACTTTCTAACAATTCTTCCCTGAATTCTCCACGTAAAATTGAACCATTTTTTTGAAAAACATTCCACCTTTCAAATGTCCATAAAACTTAACTTACCTGAGTTTGCTCGCATATTCACTTTCAATGGAACTTCGGTCCTTCACAAACTGGCCATACTTGTCCAAGAAATCTACGCCCCGTTGAGTATGCACTCCCAAATTATCATATTGGTCCTAGGAGATACAACGACATTTCTAAGGGTTAGACAACTGCACGAGCACTGATGATCATTAAATCATATCTCAAAAATGTAGTAGTTTAAGGAAAGGTTGGTGCTTTGAAATTACAAGCTGGATAAAATCACTGAAATATCTTAAAGGAAGCTCATTAAAAAGTAAAATAAACAAAAATGTAATACTGGACTTAGCAACCTTAAATGGTTGGCATTTAACACTTTCTTGAAGTGTTTATAGATTTTAATAATAATGTAAGGACAGTGTACCACCATAAGATGATGGAATACCTTACTGTTATAGATACTGGTTACAAGGTACGGACAGTGTACTTCCATAAGATGATGGAATACCTTACTGTTATAGATACTGGTTACAAGGTAAGGACAGTGTACCACCATAAGATGATGGAATACCTTACTGTTATCCTTGTAACCAGTATCTTTACGGACAGTGTACTTCCGTAAGATGATGGAATACCTTACTGTTATAGATACTGGTTACAAGGTACGGACAGTGTACTTCCATAAGATGATGGAATACCTTACTGTTATAGATACTGGTTACAAGGTACGGACAGTGTACTTCTGTAAGATGATGGAATACCTTACTGTTATAGATACTGGTTACAAGGTACGGACAGCGTACTTCCATAAGATGATGGAATACCTTACTGTTATAGATACTGGTTACAAGGTACGGACAGTGTACTTCTGTAAGATGATGGAATACCTTACTGTTATAGATACTGGTTACAAGGTACGGACAGTGTACTTCCATAAGATGATGG